ATATATGCAAATTTCCTTAACTATCTACATCGCCCATTTTGTTCTCATGTTACATTAATAACACGTGTTTTCCAAGCTATACATATATTTGCATTACCCATGCAGACGCTTATTTGAACTTTCATGGGAATCTTATTTGTATAGAGTCGAACGTGTAAACGGTATTTTCCTCTGTCTGACGGTGTCTTCTACAAATAGAAGTTTGGCTGAAGCAGTTTATTTAGTTGTGTGCGTGCGCGTTTGCTATTTACATAACTCATTCAAATCATTTTAAAAAGTAAACATACTACAGTCTTTATAATAAAATTCAATTTGAAGTTTAAAATTACCAGAAAATATATCTGTTACATCACAGACCTTTATTTTTGTATTAATATGCATAAATAGTTCTTGTGCTAAGTAGATAAAAATATTCATTAACTTTGCATAATTATTAATTTTTGTTTTACATTCAAAACAACTGTTTATTCTGTCGCGAGTTTTAATCAATAAAGATATAAATAATTATAGTATTCATATGATGTTTGTGTATATAAATTAAACACAACACTTTTCACACTTCTTGGTTCACTGTGAAAATATCTTAAGAATTTACTCAGTGTTGCGTGTTTTGCTTTCTGGAAGTTAAAATTAGAAACGACAGTTCCTTTGAAATTTTATTCTATGTTAAAGGAACTAAGTAAAGAAAAAAACATGGAGTAGGTGATTTTATAAGCCATTCAGTGATGAAGTGAATTTTGTCTTTTATTTGGAGCCCTCTACTGGAAATCCTCCTAGCATTAGAAGTAAAGTTATCCTTTTAAAAAGGAAGGCGGGATGAGATTCATTGCCATAATAATATCAAACTATCTACACCAGTCATCTTGTAATAATGCAAATTAATGAGAAGTTGTTTTTGAAATGACACATAAATTTTTCTCCCTAAGCAAAGTTTTTTTTTTAAACTTTCGTGCCAGTTATATTTGTATACGGAGTCAATTCTGTGAACACCCATTTGACTTTCCCTGAACATTTCTTCTATAAATACTACTTTCAATGAACTGTTCGCTTTCTTCCATATTAGGGCCGGGCATGGCCTGGTGTTCAGTGTTTCAGACTGTGTATCGAACGGTCCGAGGTTCGAGATGTAATGCTGCTCACGCTCCGCACTTTCAGCTAAGAACATGCTATAAAAGTACCATTCGACCTCTTTATTCGGCTAACAGAGCTAGACAAAGCTTTTGTAGTGATGGGTGTGGCTGACTGGCTACTTTTCCTCTGTTGTTGGTCAGTAGCTCAAAATAAGGGACACCTATACTTGAACCTTGGAGGTCTCAAACTAGTCGTTTGGTTCAATTGTCTGTAAATCACCGTTTTTGTTGAAAATTCAGTTTAATTTCGATTTACATCACAGACTCCTTGCTGATAACGTGTCGTTTTTTGTTTCATTTTAATCTGGGTGTTCGTTGTTATAGTTAAAATGTAACACATCATATTATCTACTCTTTCATTTTAACCTGGGTGTTCGTTTCTATAGTTAAAACTCAATATCTCTTCTTGTCTACTGTTTCATTTTAATCTGGTTGCTCAGTTTTTTATCGTTAAAACTCAATATATCTTCTTACCTACGGTTTCATGTTAATGTGGGTGCTCAGTTTTTTATCGTTAAAACTCAATATCTCTTCTTGTGTACTGTTTCATTTTAATCTGGTTGCTCAATTTTTATCGTTAAAACTCAATATATCTTCTTACCTACGATTTCATGTTAATGTGGGTGCTCAGTTTTTTATCGTTAAAACTCAATATCTCTTCTTGTGTACTGTTTCATTTTAATCTGGGTGCTCAGTTTTTTATTGTTAAAACGCAATGTTTCTTCTTGTCCACTCCTGATTCAGTTCCTATCGTAAATCGTAGCATTTTTTCAATCCTTTAAACTTTATGAGCTTAAAAAAAAAGTAAATGCCTATGCTTGTAGAAGTTCAAAATTCCACAGTGAAGCTTCTATCCATTACAAATATCATTGAATGAATTTCAACAAATTTATCTTACAAATTTTAAGAATATTGATTATGCTATAGTTAACATGTGATTTTTGTTTATAATGTTCTGTAAATTTGTGCTTTTATTTTCATATCAAAATGAATAAGAGCTAAGCTATACATATTTTAATCCAGTGAACATTCAGCTTCGAGTTATTTTATGACAGGTTTATTAAGATAAAATCCTAACGGTAGACTAATATACACACACAAAAAAGAAAGATAATTTTCACTTTATGGAACACATTTTATTTTCATACATTAATAATATCTGAAGTTAAAACGCTCATATGTCTATTTTCATAAAATAATGTATTTATCACCATCGAACATAGTTCTAGTAAAAAGCATTGAATAAAAAAGAAAAATTTTGCAACCAATATTTCTAAGGAGTGGCGCGTTAGTTCATTGAAAGGCCTAACTTACTAAGATCCGAAAGAGAATGTGTCCAACCATTTTAAACGATAGCTTGTAATGGTAAATTATGTTATTAAGCAATATTAAATGGTACAAATCAAGCTCACGAATGCTAAATTTGGATATAATCTGACAGACTAAAACCAAAATCTAAATCTATGCTGAAAAAAACTATGAATTTAATGTTTTAATAATCAAAAATATTATTGTGTGATATCTTCTTAATATCACTGATTATTATGATTAACTAAAGTTGAGTAAGATGAATATAAAAAATACATTAACTAAAAAGACCAGTGCGTAATCTAATAGTATTTCTTGCCGACAGGAGAAACTAGGATAGATAGATAAACAGAGAGATAGAAGCTGCACATCTTCTTTCCTGTTATTCTTTTGAGGGTATTTCTAGAAGATAACATGTCAAACAAAACATTTTTTGATTGATTGCATATCTATATCTGGCAAGATATGATTGCCTAAAAAAAAGCTTCACTCCCTTGGGCTGAAACTTTCGCTACGCATGACTCAATTGTATGGTATATATATATTTTTTTTCTTAAATCTTTAAATAACTTCCATGGTGCAACGGTATAAAGTTTAAATGGAGTGTGTTGAGATGAATTTAGGAAAATTGCCAATGATGAGAAGAATTTTCAAGTTTTAAGCTCAATTTACTTATTTGTTGCAATACTTTAAGTTTGTTTCGAGACTAGAATTAAGAATTATCACTTACCATAAGAGTGATTGATCTCGGGGTCTAGAAAAAGTATAAGGAAAACGTAAGTAATAATGAAAAATAAGAAATGTTTAGTTGGTGTGTTTGTGTATTTTGATATAAATTTCTTTAGCCTGATTTCCAATAACAATAGAAAATAAACTTGAATATAAAATTTTGTAAAGTAGTGCAAAACCAATAAAAACGAAACAGAGGACAGTTGTATTAAAACACGGCAGACAAAAGCCATAATGAAATCTGAGTACTAGACAAAGTCATGTTACCCTATTTACGTAAACGCTTTTGTTTGTTTGCATTTATGCACAAAGCTACACAATGGGCTATCTGTGCTCTGCCCACCACGAGTGTCGAAACCCAGTTTCTAGCGTTGTAAGTCCGCAGACATACCGCTGTGCTACTGGAGGGCACGTAAACGGTAACTCTCTTCCAAGGATTAGTGTTTCTATTTGTTACCAAACGAAATAGGGTCAAATTTACTTTAAAATAATCACGATAGTTCTAACTGCAACGTTTGTTGAATGCCATTTGTTTCAGCCGTAAAATCACATATTAGAAATATGGTAAATTGTTTACGTTGATGATAATTTAGAAGTAAGAATATATATAAATGCTTACTTACTCCAAAGATGCATTTACTGTATTTACATATATTAAAAGTCTTATATCGACATAAGACAAAATATTCAATTTCAAATAACTACTTGAGTTACTAATAATAGGTAGTCAAACAACGATTTATAAGCATAAGAAAGAGTTTTTTTTTTATGGTAGAATATACTACATCTTTCGATAGAACATTAGTCTGTGTTGTGTTCTTCAATGTTATATAGAAAGATGTAGTATGTTTCATCATCAATAAAAGTTTTCCTTATGCTTATAAATAATTGTTTGCCTACCTGTTATTATATTAACATAATGTGCTTTTTTACTCAAATATTTGAATTACATTGTGCGTTTAGGAGTCAAAAATGCATTATAATTAAAACATCACAAACTTTAGAAAATACAGTATCATTATAGTAGATTTACCAGTCATCAAGAGGCTTAGCAAAAACATTTGACCAACTAAATTAATCGATGTTTCTTAGCCTACACAGCAAATGGATGTAAATCAGCTGTGTCACGTTCATTTTTATTTGTCAACAGGAATAGTTTATTTGTGTAGTGAAGAGTGTATATGAGTAGCGAAAGAAACCGATGACATAAGCTTGTCGAAACGTTGTGGTTTCTTTCACTATCCATTCAAGCAGTTTCCAAACTTTTATTTTCTAATAAAGTGAGTTCCTCGTCATCAAACCATATCTGAAAATCTACGAGAATGTATATGTTCCCAGGTCTTTCTTCAACGACCCTAACTGGGTATCAAGTAATTTGGGTTTTTAAAAACTGTTATGAAAAACACTTGATGCATATATTATTGCTTGAAACTTACAAAAGAGAAGAATACAGTGAATATTAGAAATCAGTATTATCGTGTCGAATAATAACCCAAAACTTTGTACGAATATAAAAGTTCGCAGACTAATGAGTTTAGATTGAAAAATAAAATCGTTGATTCCTGTAGTGTAATTAGTACCTTTATTCTATGTATCTTTAAATACTTCAGCTCCAACAAGATTACTCAAATTCAAAACATCTTCCTACTTCGCGCATGATACTTGGAGCCTTCTTGTAGTTTTCAATACGACAAAAGATGCTTGTAAAAATCATAATTGTATAGCGTATATATATATATATATTTCGTTCTAATAGAACTTATTTTTGTTTTACTTTTGTGTTTTGCAACTCAGCCAGCACGTAACCTCTTCGTTTTTTTATTTCTTTACTAGTCAAGACAACGAGAAGTTAATAACTTCCATGAAATTCAAGATGATCATTTCCTGAGCTTAGATTTTGAAGATGAAAATCCTATTAAGTTCGGAGAAAAAAGTAAGTAAACATTTTTTGTGATTATTTCCCCGAAATGGGGCCGAAGGCCGCCTGGAGGGGTTACCTGATTTAACCACTCGCACCACCATACAATAGTATGTTGCCTGTCAGTCAGTCAGTAGACACTAAAATTAGTCACGTACGGGACGCTTAACGTTGCAATTTATACTGTTGTGACATCAGTAAAACTTGCGCATGCCATGAATCACTAGAGGAATTATGCACTATGTAGGTTACATCACAGCTTGACATGTGAACTTCAAAAGCAAGAATTAAAAACATTTGTTTCTCTTAATTTTGGTTTTATTTACTCTTGAACCAGATCGCTTTAGGGGACCCTACGGAAGTACATCTAGAATTAGATACTGTATTGCAGTGAAAGGCGTTTTACAGGCGCGAATCACGTTACATTGTAGTTACTTGTACATACGCCACACATATCAAGGTTCACATACAAAAACCGATATTAATTATTACAATACATTCAAAACATTATATTTTCACTTTCTAATACCTGATAATTCGTTCGTTAAACACGTGCAAGTTACGAGTAGCTGGTAAAAGAATTTAAAATAAAACTTCACTTGATGTACAAAGGAAACTTTAAAAGAACGGGTATACCAAAAATAATTAAAAACAAGATGTTTTGACTATATAGTTAAGTACATGCTTTTCATATTGCTTAAAATAAATAATCAAAGTATTATATAATAACAATCAAATCATTAATTAATAAAGTCGTATTAGAACACATAAAAAAGCTCTTTGAATTAATGCTAAAACTTTCATTATATTAAAGTTTTTACTCAGTTGTCCATCTAATAAGTTTTCCCTTTTCTTTCTTTTACTTAGACATTTTCTGTCTGTATGGCTATATAAATAAAATCAAATTTGTTCCATTTCTGAATTCATGATGACGTTCGAGTTGTCACTCAAACATTTCAGAAATGCATTTAATTTTACAGAAAAAATACTTATTACGATAATAGTTTTAAGAAATACAGTTTCACTTTGAAGGTACAACTACAGAAATGTATTCATATGAACATAAAAACAAATGTGATTTAACTGGATTTCTTCAACTCGTTAAAAAGTTTAAACATAAAGAAGTAGGAGTCAATTTAGTCAGAAACTGTTAGTTTGTAAAAGTGGATATTTTAAAATCTTAGTCCCAGTTAGGTTCAGGTCTTTCTGCGTCTGATTTACTTTCTGTTTTTTTTTTGTTTTTTGTTAAGTTGTTTTTCATTCTATGTGTCACATAAAGATATTGCAATTATTAATTTCGCTTAGTTAATTTTCCGGCTCATGGTAAATTTTTTGAACTTTTACGAATCTTTACTCTTTTCCCTGGTGTGAAAAGATCTTTACATTTTTATGTTTGTCATTAGAGCCTTTTAATTACATTTTCACTGGCAACTGTCATTCTCTGAAAGAAAAATCTACGGAAAAGAATGAGAGTTACTCTACTTTCCCCATTGTAGTTGATTCACTAGAAAGTTCACACTTAGTCTTTTATGTTATTGAATAATAATTAAATCGTTAAATTACTAACATGATTCAAGAAAGAAATTTTATGATATTTGGAATTTTGAGTTTCTTACATAAACAGATATAGTAAGAAAACACTACATACTGTCCAGTTATAGTTATATGCATAGTATTTGTTACTGAATTAAATAATGTGTATAAAACTAGAAAAAAAAATGGTATTCTAGCCATGACGTCACTCTTGACATAGAAGAAATGAAATAAAAGTTTGCTGCAGTAAAGGGAATAAAATCAACAACACTGAAATGAATAAATTAGAGAATTTTTTCAAGTTCTGTATTTCGAAATTTAAGAACATTGAAAAACAATTAGGCTGAAAAGTAAAATAGTTTTGTGTAAGGTTTCGTCATTTATCTTTAATTTGATATATCCATTAGCTCTGTCCAATTTTCAAAATTACGTCTTGTAATCCTGCTTTTCATACATTTAATGAAAGATTTATGACAGAAAAGACAGTAAAAAAGCTAATTACTTTTAAGTAGGATTTAAGACTTTTTAACATATGTGTATTTGCATTTGCGCGTGTTTTTAATCTCATGTATACAGTAATAGTTAGGCGTCTTATGAATTGCCCAGACCTCCTTAATGCTTTCATTAGCGCACATGCATTAAAACGTGTTCGAGGAAAGAAGAACTGGCAAAGATTAGCGTAAGATATATGGAATGCAGAATATATACATTTCAAAATATTCAAGCCTTGAGAAATTGAAGCCAATTATACATTGTACGATGACGAAAATATCAATTTGCATATTTTCTCAAACGTTCAGTTGTTTAAAAACGCAAGCATAAACTTTCTAATGTTAAATAGAAGCCGAAGTTTTTGCCATTCGGGTTTCTAACGCGCACGTCTTCCAAGAAGAAGACCCGGGATCGAATCCTGACTGCTAACAAAACAAAAATAGTTCTCAGAACTTATTTGAAAACGGCAGAAGCTTAGGACAAAAAGTAATTAGCAGTTAATATCTAGTGCTTAAAACAAATGCGTAAAGGATTAAGAATTTGACTTTGTTGATCGCATAGGCTATTTACCACCCGAACGAACGAGTGGTATCGTATGGTCACAACCTTACTTACCGTAAGTAAAAGATTACCAGTTGCACGATAGTCAAAAATAAAATATTTCGCGGATAATAAATTTAAGAATGCGCCCAGTGGACAGCCAGAATGTTGTATGACAATAATATAACTAAAATATGATTTAATAATAAATTTGTCGCATCACGTTTTTAAAAAAGAAACAAATTAAATAAACCCGACAAACTACCTTAATTGTGATTTCGTAACACTATCTAATATCAGGACAGAAAAAAGTTTCAAAACGAATTATCCCAAAATGTGGTTGTAGGGAATAAGAAATATAGTCATAATTTATTATTTTTACAATAACTTATACCAGCTTTGATTCAGCCAGTTCGAAGGTTTATGACATACTTGTTATATACTAGCGTATTTTTCGTGTTGTCCTTAATCATAATCACATGAAGTTTTAGTTGAAAGTGGTTTCTCAGTTCGCCACAAAGTCGCCACGTTCACAAATGTACGTCTTCTCTAGGTTAACATATCACGTAAAAAAGAGCACGAGGTTGTCTAAAAACGTTATTGGATCGATCAATTCGGCCTTGTTGTAAACCTAGACAATGAAACACATACAGTACACTTATGTAGGTTCATACCATATATTTAATAATCTCTTGACTCACGCATTGCATCTCTGTTCAGATGGTCAATTAAGTATTTTAAAAATTTACTTAGTTTCGGCAAAAAGGCTTATGTATAAGTGTATGTTGTTCTTCGGCTTTTCTATTTTATTCTGTTCAAAAAATTCGGCAGGAAACACTAAGACGTTTCTCTTTAGTATGCCCCCCAGTGGCACAGAGGTATGTTCTGCGGATTTACAACGCTAGAAACCGGGTTTCGATACCCGTGGTGGGCAGAGCACAGATAGCCCATTGTGTAGCTTTGTGCTTAATTTCAAACAAACAAACAAACTCTTTTAGTATATGTGAATACTATTTTAGAACTTAGGATGACAAATGATAAAAAATATTTCGTTGTAGAAAAACTTTTTAACGAACGTTCCGACATCAAGATTTCATGGAAAACAGGACTCAAAGAGATTTGATGTCACTTGACTTTGCGAATAAATCGATAATTTCTGTCGGATTTTGCATTACAAAAAAATCAAATGTCACCTCTCTAAACGCGAGACCTAGCAAAGTTTAATCTAATTTCAAAGGAATTTCACAGTGAAATGGTACTCGTGCTGAACATTTTTTAAGCAAATTTTTTTTCCATCTTTCTAAAAAATTTTCGCAAATCTCTTTCAGGTCACCTATCTAAAAGAAGACTTTTCGTTTTTGTAAAACAAGCTTAATAATGCGTGCAATAAAAGATGCGATTATGTTTAGCTAATTTAGGAAAGTTTTTCTAATCGAAGCAACATCCTTTGTGATTCGAAATAATGAAGGCTTCTAAACAGTACCTTTAAACCTATTCATCATTAGAAATTTCTTTAAAAGAAACATCCACTGTGTTTCAGAAACATATACATATTGTTAGTGAGTAACTTTTTCGGGTTTTCTTCATTTTCTCATCACACACGCACTCTTATGTAGTACGCACTCTTATGAAAACAGAGACTCTTTATTTTTAGTTATATTTTTCTAAAGCGTTTCTTGGGACAAAGCTACTCAAAATGACGTCACTGACATGACTTGCGACCATGTGCGCAATATTAAACATTTTACTAATCTACACATTGAGCAGTTTGTCGACATGTTGTTGTTGTTTTTTCATCTGAAGATAATATTGTCATAATTTGGTAATTAATATTCAACTGAGAGCTTTAACTGCATCAGTTAACCTATATTCTGACACTTTAAACCATTGAAGATATTATTTGGATTTTGGGATTGGACTCCCCTGGCGAGGACAAAAATGTTTTCTATTCTGGAGACAAATAATTATTCTGCGTTGTTGATGTGTTTTTATTCAAAATTTGGGAATAAAATATTAAACCAAAAGACAACAATACACATTTCACAACTCCTTTGCAAACGTATACATACATGTATATATATATATAATAAATTTCAAACACATCCTTTGTGTAAGAGTTCTTCCCTTCGTCTTGTTGGATTATTTTTTAATAGTTTTTGACATCAATTTTTACTAATAGAAACATGTCATTGCTTGTAGCACAGTTAATTTTTTTTGGTTAATGTGTTTTTAAAACCTACAAGACATCAGGTAAAACTTTAAGTAACAAGAGGGACATTCAGTAGAGCGCATGCCTCCGCCACGCAGCGTTGATCATAGTCGGCTCTAAAAAAATACAAAAATGTGTTCGTCGTTATTAACGGACACGAACCATTTTTGACAGGACAATTAGGAATAATATTCTATACATGTCCATCAAGTTTCATCAAAATCAAATAATTTTTGACTGAGTTATAGGGCACAAATAGTGCGAAAAATCGGCCTCATGCTAACAGATAGGGATTTTTTCATTTTCGTGACCTTGACCCTCCAAAAACTAATAACTTCTAAGTTGTATCATAGTCCAAATGTATACCAAGTTTCGTCCAAATCCATATGGCCGTTTTTGAGAAATCTTGCTGACAAATACACAAACAAACACACAGGGGTGAAAACATAACCTCCGTCACCTTAGGTGACGGAGGTAAAAAACATGATTTATAGAATTTGGGTTAGAATATTTCCTCTTTATCTGAACATATCCAAAAACTTTAAACTCCCATCTTTCTGGCGTAAGGTATGCTTTCTAGGATTTTATTTTGGTCATTATTTTTAGTCTTCAAGACAAAAAGCGTAGTTCATAGATCCATCAGTGGGAAGCCTCGCGTGATTCTCTAACGTTGACGTTCTTGACACATGATTTATCATTTACCATGCGTGTCTAAAACCCACGTCCACCTTTAATGTATCAGGAACTCTCGCATGTTGCTTCGGTTAAGCCTAGAAGCATTATGATTCCAGAGAAACGCAACCTCTCTAGAGCTTTGCATCTTTGTTGCTTCGTATATTTTTTCCGTAAGTTTACACTTTTGCATTCTCTAGACTCTCTGCAACCGTCTTTGTAGATGCCAGTATATACTGTTGGCGTGTTTTAATTATTCCAAATGTTCATTTAATTTTAATAAAGCAAACTAAGGCTTGATTGACATATTACTAAAAAAAAGTAAGCGTACAACAACTGAAAATTCTCAGTATTGTTTCTATAATTTGCTACTTTTATTTATAGTCCTTGTTACAAGCAAAAGCTTCATCAATAGGCTGATAACATAGTAATTCTTTGAATTTTTACAAAACCATAATATAGACTGAAAGCAGCCCAATGAATGATGTATAAAATCATATGATTAGAGTTCGATTTTATGCTTCATTTTAGAATTATCTATGGGGACCTATATGGATCTCACAAGTCTTTTAAACGTGTTTCTAAACAATTTATACACCAAATAATAACTGTATTTTACTGTTGAGTGATAATTCGAAATTTCGCTTACTAAAATAAACATCGCAATCGAACTTACAGTATTACTTAATACTTATATCGCGATTAGATTAGTATGTAAAATCTCAGCTCTGTGCATGTGTTCATTCACAGAGAAACACTCAGAAACATTACTCTCGTCATTATCTTATCCAGCATCTACAGGGCTTACAGAAAAAAAAAGAAACATCCTTTTTCTTCTCAATGTTGCAATATGCACTAAAAGAAAATGTTAAATAAAAACTTTTAGCTTGTGACATTTCGTATGGTATTATTTTGTCAGTTATCGTCGGACCTATGTCTTGCTTTTTTTCATATGCTTTTTTTTCTAAAAATCATCGAATTAGAATAATCGATTACCATAATTGTAATCGGGATTATTCACAAATATCGAGTCGATAATCGAAACGAATTGCAATACTGATAATCGATCAGCACTACTGTGAATTCGAAGATTTATGTTTCGTGACTTGTCACTTTAATAACGCGCTCTGCACTTTGGAGTGTGGATGCGCTAAAAGATTGAGAGTAAAAAGAGTATCCCAGGAGTTGATGGGAATGCTGTTGATTAGCTGCTTTCCTTCTATACTATCAGTTCAAAATTGGGGACGGCTATGCGCAAATAGTCTTATAAAGCAAATAACCGTCCTTTCGAATTAAATGTTGGTTTAGAACAGTAAATCGTTGAGAAAAGATTGACGTTAGTGTCCAAAATTACTTACTTAAATTGTATAGCAAAGTTAACATCTAATCTAAAAAAAAATAAATATAAAAGTGTGACTAGCTGATTTTCTTCTTTCTACGTTGGCATGTTATTGTTTGGTTCACAAAATTTATCCAGCTTCATTTGCGTTCCAGTTTTAATACCTGCCTCTATCACGTCATAATTGTATGTATTTTAAGGAGAACTGGAACTAATTCCAATGCTTATATTCATTAATATTTGTAAATAAAGTTAACATAGTGTACATCACGGCAGCCCTGTTTCCTGAAATAGGTATCTCATTTTTTTATAGTCATTCATTTGTATTCATTCCTTATACTTACACTGTAACATATGATCACCACATTTTGTCATTTGAACACACGCATCGTTTTAAATTGTAAGGAGTCAACATTGATCAACATCAAGAACTTATATAGCAATCTGCAATTTAAAGCCTACGAGAACTTTTTTTAAAGTTATCAATTGAAAATTCATAACAATTAAACAACATGGTATGGTCGTTGCTGCAATCTAGTGATTTTTCAGATTCCAATATGTGTACGAAACAAGTATACACAAGTATGTAAGCAACACAAAATCGCTCTCTCCGAAGCCTCATGGGCAGGCCTTTGTGTTTTTCTCTTTTATTTTTTTTTATAAATGTAAATATTGATGTATGTTGCTTAATTCAATAAGCGAATTACAAATGTTCTTTAATGAAAAAAAAAGTGAGGGAATTAGTTTCATAATATTTGTTACTTGTCATTAACTAGAATTAATAACATCAAGCACAATTAAAATATGCAGGGTACCGTCCTTGAAAAACAAATTACTTGTCATCCCTTCATTTCAATGACAAGCTAATTTCTTCAATAGTACCCCCATTGGATCAGCGGCAAGTTCTCGAACTTGCAACACTAAAATCCTGGGTTCAGTTCCCTGTTATGAACCGAGAGCAGATAGACCATTGTGTTGCTTTGGACTTAACAAACAACCAAACACACAAACAAATAAACATACTCTCCAATAGTGGTTAACTAAATCTGTATATATAATATTTGAAAATCATAATGTTTGCTAATTTAGAAATATGTGAAGTACATAATAATACATCAATATCTTTAATTTGATTGTTCTGTCGAGTAAGTTACCGGAAAGTTAATGTGTAAATTTTAACTTTATGTTCTGTCGAGTAAGTTACCGGAAAGTTAATGTGTAAATTTTAACTTTAGGAAAACGTGAATCAACACGTCTTGTATGTGTCGGCATAAGATGTTATCCCTTAAAACAAATATTTCTTCCGAGAAATAAAAGGAATAAAAAATGTTACATTTGCGTTTTATTAAAAGCTTTTCAAGATTAAGCGATTATATTTTAAGGCTAAATATTAAAATTTTTGTTTTTCATTTATTCCACAAAGACCCGTGTGATTCTATTATATGTGGAAAAGGTCGGCAATGTGAGGTGAACGAAGTGGGCCAAGCTGTCTGTATTTGTCAGCTGTACTGTAAACACCATAAAAAACCGGTTTGTGGTACAGATGGCAATTTCTACACTAGTCATTGTGAACTACATCGAGCAGCATGTCTAGCAAGAAAAACCATCCGCATTGATCGCAAGAGAGGATGTTTGAAGAAAAAGGGTAAGTGTGCAAACAATTAAAGGATCATGTCTACTTCATTACTCCCTAGTCTCACTGCTTACTTATAGATTTGCTCGAACTACTATTGTACTGATTGTTATTATTAATTGTTATGATCCTGCTAGCTGTTATGACCCTGGTCGCATCCACTAAAGGCCAAATATGATTTCTGTTGAGCACTTAGATCATCACATTTAACTTATAAAATAGTTTTTGAGAAAACAATAGTAGCTTGTTGTCATTTAGGTCACAAACATAAATGTTAGTTAGCTATAACACATTAACTGTTTCTTTAAAAATTAAGGAGTGTTTTTTCTGGCTGATTATATGTAAGAATTATTATAAAAATCGGTATTATTTATTAATCCCAACAGAAATGTTTAAATAAGTTCTTCTGAAGTTGTTTAATAATTTTTTCATAAATTGAAAAAATATTATTACTAATTTTTATGAGTAGGGATAAGCCTGTTTTGAAGGTGTTATAGCGCTTATGTACTTTTACATTGAACATATATTTTTAGACAACAAAATTATCTCATGGTAACTTTAAGGGATTTGTTAAACTGTGAGGTATAGGAACTGGACGACTTGGAAAAGACAGCCACAGGAAATTTTCAAGAGTTATGGGTGGCTATTTTAGCAGAACATTGCAGGTTTTGGAGCTACATTTAATGTTTTTTTATTAACGGCGAATAACACCATCCCAATTTTCTTAAATGTTTATGATTATATGTATTAGATTTAAATATATTGAACGTAATTACTTTTAACAGTTAAAACTTTATTATTGTTTATTTAAAAAAGTATATAGTGTGTGCATTTTTGATATTTATTACGGTGCAATTAATTGATGTTATGGTGTCTAACTAGGTTGGTGTTGTAACTTTTTTAAGATATTGAATTGTTCCATGTGTTTGCATCATTGTTAAGATACACCTTAACATAACATAATGTTTTGGGACAACAAGGGACCTATTGATCTATCTCAGCTGTCCCATCCTCTAAAGTAAACTAAAACTATTTTAAAAATCTTAAAACTAGTCCTTATCATTCATATAGTTATCAAGCTTTCTCTTAAACTCTCTTAAATTTACTGCCTCCACAACATCCGAAAGCAACCCATTCCAGGGGCCAAATACCCTATTAGAAAGATAAAACTGTCCTAGCTAAAGATGATTCCTACTTTGCCAAAATTTATATTTGTGTCCCCTAATCCTACTATTCTCACTGTTAAATATGGGAAAAGATGATGCATCATCACTATCAATTCCCTTTACAACCTTAAACACCTCAATCAGATCTTCTCTATTCTTTCTTTTTTCAAGAGAAAACTATTTTAAAGATCTTCATCTCTCCTCATATGACAAATCATCCATCCCAGGCACCATTCTAGTAACCCCTATCTGAACCTTTCCTACAATTCTCCTTCCTAAGGTAAGAGCCCAAGACTGAACACAATACTTCAAATGTGGCCTAACCAATGACCTATACAATGAAATTATAACTTACTTAGACTTCTATTCAATATTTCTGTAAATACAACATAAAATCCTATTTGTCCTGCCACTAGCAACAGCACACTGCTTGGATGGCTTAAGAGACTAATCAACCATTACACCAAGATTCCTTTCTTTCATGACACTGTTACGATTATTCCAATCCAAATTATACTTATAATTCATATTATGAAAACCTACATGTATTATCTTGCATTTATTATAATTAAAACCCATCTGACATTTATCTGCCAATCTCAATAAATGATATAAATCCTTTTGTAAAGTAACAGCATCCTTCTTCACATCTAGCAAAACCAAATACTTTAATATCATCTGCAAATTTAAGTAATTTATTGACCATTCCTTCATCTTTGTCATTGATGTAAATCAAAAAGATCAAAGGTTCTAAGACTGAACCCTGAGGTTTAATCCAGTTTGACTGAACCCCATTTATAACAACCTTCTGCTTTCTTTCATCCAATTAGCTACCTTATCTCCCACTCCTATAGGTACGGTTTTCTATTCTTTTTTAGTGTGCTATTTGTTTAGTATATATCAACGTTAGTGTTATAGTAATTGAATCATACTGTAATCCTTTTGCTGGTATGAAAAGATTCTCTCTATTCATGCCTCATTCTCATAAAAAAAAAATCAAAACAAGGCTCTTAACGCATCTTATGTTGGCCTATTGTAAGCAAACAATTGCGACTGCAAACAAAGGCCTGAAGGATTCTGAATGGACAAATAATTTGGCTGCTGTACCAGATATTTCATTGGGTGACGTTACTGCAATCATTCTGAGACATTCAAAAGTGTATACAAAACATATCACTAAAGGCTACATGTTCGTCCATGAGTTGTACGGTCAAAGGTAGGAACGCGTGGGCACGGCTTACCTGTACTTTTTTAGCCTGAACGTTTTTAACGCTTCTGACACTTCTTTATTTAGCACTACACCACCACATGAGGTATATGATATTGAAGGTAGGTCATCTGTCACATTTTGTGTCATAGACATAGGCCTAAAACTGCATGTCGGGAAAGTTCTACATTCGATATTGATTATGTGTTCATAATTTGAAGAATAAAATGCCATAGCAGTTTAAACATACAGTACTAGGTGCCTAGGGGTTACCTGTACTCACTATGCATTGAAAGAGAGATGGGGCGACACTAAATGTTTTGTAATCTCTCAGTAACAACAGTTTTATTATTAACAAGGTTGGACTGAAAGCAGTCCACAAATGGTTTATCTATAGTTTGGAACATTGTTGTTACTTTGCAAGCATCTTCTGTATTGAGAGTGAATGCCTGTCACTTGAACATGATTTATAATGAAACAGTCCTATGTTGGCAAAAACTGGAACAGATCTGATTCTTTCTGTGAATGAGTGTTCTCAAAAAGTGAGAAGATGATAATAAATAATAAATTGACACATCTAAATGAAAACTTTTTCTAGTTTATTTTGTGTGACGTATTGAGTAGTCGCCCTTCGTCAGATAGTAAAGACTGTTTGCAATGGAATTAGGCTCGCATACTTTACAGATAGTTCATACCTCGGTGATCAACATATAAATATAGGCAATCAATTGAGCAAAAGTGAGGAACTTAACAAGTGAAGATAGAAAAGGTTAGTTAGTGAAAGAAAACGTTAAGTTAGCCAGCATGTGAGTGATTATCTTTAACAGATAATATTTTAAAGTGAAATAAATGGAATAATTTGTCTTGCCAAAGGGTGTTCTAAAGTAACTGAACCCATCTGCATGGACTTTGACGAAAGAAGACAATTATTTAAAATTTGAGATACAACTGTGGTAATGCACGAGGTAATGTAAGTGAATTATTTGCTGATATGATTGTGATAAGAGTAGAGAAAATATTTCGTCTTGTCAGTTGGATTCGAAAGTAATTGAATCAGCCTAAGCGGAATTTTGACAAGAAAAGAGAATTATTTAGAATTTGAGATACAACTGTGAAATCCATAGAGTAAAGAATTTTTGTACATAGTTTAACTTGTTTTGAATATATTATTTTAGAATAAGTGGATTGTGTGCTCTCCATTTATTGTTTGAATTTATCGCCAACAAGTCACAGACATCTAGTGTAGAAGAATCCTTAGCTCACTCATATTTAAAACCTCTGACATAAATAAACTATTTTTGTTGATTAAATCTATCTTTAGCTACTTCAAAATTATGAAATCCAAAATATTCTTTTGAATTTATAGTGTGAGCTTTTCCATTAAGAACTAGGTTGTTTATTTTTGTGCAATATTTATTTATTTTTCTCAGAATTGGAAGAGTTCTGATATATTGTATGTTATTACAAATTAGTACCATTTTGTTACAGCTAAGTGTCTGAAAATCAACTGGATCCTGATTATACTGGACATCAAATGTTGGAATTTCTAATCTGATCTAACATACAAATCTTATATTATTTGTAATACATACAGAGAAAGTTCAGGAAGTTAATTCAAGTTATATCATAAGGATAGTTACTGGCTTTTCCCTTGAATTGAGGATTGAGTTAAAACTTAGTTGAGAAGATTTGTATTACAGTATATGTCTGTATTTATACCTGTACCTAATAACTTTGATTTATCAGTGTTATATTAACTACAAATGTTTGTTGAAGAAAAATAAAGAATAAAGCAATCTAATAAAAGGTTTATTTTGCCTTAAAAATATATATTTCTAGTGAAAACCAAATTGTAATTTTCTGATAATTAATAGTGAAAAGTTATCTGTTATTTAACCCTTTGACTGTGGCTGCTTTAAACGTGCACAGGATTTTTGCAAGCCATACTCTGTATACAGCACACTCTCATTCACTGCTGAAGGTGGACTATATCCTATACAGTGAATCAGCTGTCAAGAGGTTAAGAGTAAGATTTTATCCCTTACAATGAAATTCATTTTCTAGCAGTCACCAATTTATTATTTTTCTTGAATTTAACACTTACCAGAACCCCAGGAGACAACAACAGAATCCCAGAAATATATCCATACCACAACTGAATGGAAGAGAACTGATAATCCTGTATTATGGACTAACCTAGCAAAACCAGAAGTGGAAGCTTTAACTACCACTTCCAAACCAGAGCATGGAACAACTCCTAGGGAATGTAGTCAAGAAGAATATGACTTTATGAAAGAAAATCTTTTGTTATTTAACAATGCAGAACTAATGAATAACAAAAAATCTGGTAAGACTTTTGGGTTTTTGTTTCAGTTATCATTAAACTACGTAGAAATTTATTTCCACTCTTAAACTCCTGTAAAGCGCTGGCTTACACTAACCTTCCTATGGCAACTTATTTCCTAAGTCAATTACCCTATTGCAGAAATAAAACTGTCTTAACTGGAGCCTATCCTTTCTTTTGTGTAAAGAGATAATTACCTCTTTCAACTCATAATCAAAATGTCTATAAATACACTCAGAAACACTATTAGCCTTGCTGCTGGCAACAGTGCACTGCTTTGATTGATTGGATGACTTATCCAGTATTAGAAATTCCAAGGGCTTAATGTCAATAGTAAACTTTATTAATCTACTAATTATGTTTCTGTCATTATCATTAATGTAAATAAGAAAGAGCAATCCCCAAATGAATGACTCTTGAGGTACTCCACTAGTATCAAGGGTTCACTGGACTCCATTAATAACTTTTTGCTTTCTTCCATCCAGCCATCCTACAATACAGTTAACTAGTCTTTCTCCAACTCCCAATGATGTGATTGTCTTTGCTAATCTTTTATATGACACATCATTAAAAGTTTTTTGAACATCTAAATATGCCAAGTCACACTCTTTTCTTCATTCTGATACAGATATGTGTATGTCAGATTTTTAAAAATTCATTTATCTCAGAGACAGAAGTAATCAACAATATGCCACATGTATTGATATGAGTGAAACTGTGAAGATGAAAAATATGAATAGTTTTGGAACAGCAGAAGCATTTAAATTATGGAAAAGCTGAAAACAAAAGTTCATTGTACTTTGGAGGTTTACAACCAAAATTGACATTACTAGCTCATCATAATGATTTAAAACCTCTAATTTCCATTGCAGCTTTTTGTCAATCAGCTGTGCAATGAAGCATAACTTATTGTTTAATTAAGTCTCAAAATTGGTAGTGGTAGCTATCAAAAAAAGCCAGTGAGTTCTAGTGTTTAACCAGTGACCATGAAGGAGAACTGTTTTTTGCCATTTGATAATCTAGGCATGATTATGAATATTCTGACCAGTTGCAAATAACACTCAAAATAATAGAAAAAAACTACATGAAAGCACAACATTTGTGGGAAAAAGCACTACAATAATTGATTGTTAAGCCTATTTTTAGTAGCTTGTTATGCATCATTCTTGTATATCTTTGTGGGATTCTTCAAGCTTAAAAAAGGAATTGAAGATGTTTCGCGCAATTGGTGTGTCAGTTGTGTTTTTTATTTTTTCCTTTCATATTAAAAAATATAATTATTTCAAATATCCAAGATTTGTTAGCACACCAAAATATATAGTATTGATAATGCAATTCTTTCTGGAAATTCATATCAACTATTTAGTTATGTCTGCTAAGGCCACACAACTCATTAATTCATCGACTTTTATTTTGTTTTGCTAATGTAACTGGCACTTTTACAAGTGACTTTTAATGCAACTGACAAACATTTACTAAGGGCCCGCATATCTAGTTTCAAGACCTAGCTGTTAATGAATAAAAGATTAAACAAGCATGTTAGTCAACTTTTATTAAACAATCATTGTACATTACTTTGATGGAGATGGTAATTCTGCAAAATGAGTTGTTCTATTTTGGACTGGTTTAATTTTTTTTTTCAACTTCTTAAACAAGAAAAGGGCAAAGGTTTTTAAGTGGTGATAACTAATTTAGCCAGAAATCTTCCAAGAGTCATGAAAGATACCTTAAAAATCCTCATAATCAGCATCCTAAGTATATTCTGCTATTGGTTTTATATAACATAATTTCTACAATTCAAGAGTTAATTCTGGAAATAACCTTTCTGCATTACAGCTGTAACAAGAAGTAAGCAAAGTATAAATACAATAAATTAATTTGGGGTAATACATCTGCTCAACAAGGAAATTGTCAGAGTAAATATTATGAATAATATATTCTTCTGTTTTAAATTAAATTTAATTAAGTTATCTAACCCTAATCTATTTAATTAGTGTAACACCTCATTATTGACAAGCAGACTCAGAAAATATCATTCTTTTTCTTTACTGCGGCCCTACAGATTGTGTTGCACTAGTGTTCCATTCTGAGATTACACTGAAAATGTCCTCAAAGTTTCTTCACAAATAACTAAACAGATTATTTCCAAACTTATGATCTGTATGAATTCTTACATAAGAAACTGTAAAAGTTCTTAAGTATCTTTTACAGCCATTCCTGTGTTACATATCACCAATTTTTAAGGAAAGAAAAGTATTTTATTCAAACACTGTTAGTTCATGGTGCTCATGCATGTCAGTGACTGGCCAAACCATTTTAATCATCTACATTTCACAGTTTTTGAGACACATTTATGTATACATATGTTGTGTCAAGTATAACTTAAACCTATTTCTCAATTATAACATTTATTTTTAGGAATGTCCATTGTGTTGTTTAGCATTCATATGATCACAGTGTTTGGAAATAAGAAACATTAAGTGCTCTTTTGGGTATTTAAAACATTGTTCTTAGGAAAATATGAAGAAAATAGAATGAATAAAACATCTAGGCAGTGATCAGACATAACAGTTCTTAAATTGTGTCCTGAAAGAATGATAATGATACTTTGAAATAATGCAAACATATCAGCATGTAAACAAAGAGTTTAGTACTTGCCGCTAGTGTCATAATGCACTAAACTTTAAAATATAAATTTTATGTACATACATATGAAAAATACTTTTGTTCCTATTGTTGTCAGAAGTGGGCAGAGTCGTCATAAAATATTTCCATTTTAATGTGGTATTATTTTTATAAAAATTATTCATTTATTAAAATTATCAAACTTACCATGTTTTCTTTCCTTAGGCAATGAATATCTTGTCAGCATTATGTTTTCTCATTATGACCAAAACAACAATGGATTATTAGAAGCGGAAGAGTTATGGCAAGCTGGAGAACATGATCACTTGGGTCAGCTATCTACAGCATGCATACTGGCAGATATGTTACTTTTTGATGATCCCAATCAAGATGGAAAATTAAACATCAATGAGTTTTATATTGCCTTTAGTAAGTTATACAGTAAGTTCTGTCTGCTTTTTCTGCTTCTTAACCCTTCTTTCCTGCACTTTGGTCTCCTTGTTGTGGTGATGATTTTGTTGAGTATGGTGTTGCTTTACATAATAGGCTCAATGCTTATACGCTTATAATTTATGAGTGCTTAAACACTAGAATAAATCATGTGCATTTTTATGTGTAGCCAGCTACTTAGTGTATATGTAATGAATTTCATTAATAGGATTATTCTGCTATAATGCTGTTACATTTTTATCAGGTTCTCTACTTTGTTAAAGTTATTTATGTAGAAATAATTCTTTGCAAGCTGTAAAATTGCATACTTACACTCCAACATATTTTGTTTTCAGGGTTATATTATCATTATGAAGTACAGTTGAGAAAATGTACTGTGAAATACATAAATCTGTAAAAGCTACTTGCGAGAACTGTAGGAAAGAACAAAACATGCAGAATGATATTCACATGTATCAGTATATCCTCAAAATACTAAAGAAGCAAACTGCCTCTGTAGAGCAGAAATACACATATAAATATATACTTCAAATCCAAAATCTGCAATATACATAAACTGAAACTAATTTTCTAACATAAAAAAATGGTGGAGATAGTCAAAATATTGCTTATAATTAATATATGCTACTAATTAATTTTAAGCAAAAGACTATTATAAATGTTATTGTAAAAAAAAAAAGTTAACTTTTTGATAATATTTGTAGTTTGTTTTTTCTTTTATAACCCTTTTCTTTTATCATTTTCTTTGCAGTAATAAAATTAAACTTGCTAATTGTTTGTGTGTGCTTACTATATTTTGAGAAACTTTGGATATTGCACGTTGTTTAATTGAAATCCTAAACGATAAATATCACAAGTCTGGAAAATTCTAGATGATACCAGAAGAAGAAAAATATTCTATAAATACCAGTGACAGTGTCTGTGTAATAACTGACTTTTAGTTTTGGTAGTTTATTTTCAATTCTGAATAGTTTCATGTAGTTATCATGCAAAATGATTCTCTTTCAGCATTTAACTGCATCTGACTGTTATGTTATGGTGAATGAATTAAAATGTTTTAGTCTTAGCTCTGAATTTGACATTAGTTGAAATGAATAATACTTCTTTTTGAAAATTTGTGTTAAAATTGTAAAAGGTTGTATTGACTGGTTGAAGGTATTGATGGCATGAGTTCATTTTCTTTTGCACCAGGTGTCTCTGTTGTTTCTTTGGATAAATCTCTTGAAATAAACCATGTCATGGCATCTGTTGGGGATAATGTAGAGATAAAATGTGATGTTAGTGGAACCCCACCTCCACCTATTGTGTGGCGAAGGAATGACCTTGACCTCTCACTTTTGAATGAAGAAGAGATAAAGGTATGCTTTTGCTTAAGTTTTTTGTTGTTTCATTAATTGTATATATATATATATATATTTATTTATATATAATTAGATGACACCTTTCATATATTGATTTAGTTTAATAATCTAGTTTTATATTCCTTTTCTTTATGCTAAATACCAGACACTACATTGCCCGGCATAGCCAGGTGGTTAGGGTGCTCGACTTGCAATCTGCGGGTTCGATTCTCCGTTCCACCAAACATGCTCACCCTTTCAGCCATTGGGGCATTATAAAGTGATGGTCAATCCCCCTATTCGTTGATAAAAGAGTAGCCCAAGAGTTGGCAGTGGGTGGTGATGACTAGCTACCTTCCCTCTAGTCTTACACTGCTAAATTAGGGATGACTAGCGCAGATAGCCCTCGTGTAGCTTTGTGCAAAATTCAAAACAAACAAGCAAAACAGACACTACTTTTATGTGTTAAGTGGTACAGAAATCGTTAGGTCAAACCTAGAAAATGGGTGCATGAACTGTCAAAAGTTAAGCGGCATTGTATGATGTTGAACATTTTATTTCAAGCATTGCCAAACTGTCTACCATAATATATTATTGTGGAGTGTCATTTTGCAACTTAGATATCTATCTGTTGACTCTTTGCAGATGTTACAGATTTGACTTAAGCATCATAATTTGTACATATTAAATCTGATTAACTTTATTAACAGTTTTTTTATTGGAAATATTAAACGAAAACTGATGTATAAGTTTAACTGAAGGAATAGAAGCATGAAATTTTCAGATTTTTTCTAAAAAAAAATGACCTTACAGTTAATGAATCTGTAGTGAGAAAGCAATGCTTCATGCAAAAATTGAAACTGGAGTCAGTTATCATTATTTGATCAGACTACCTTTTATTTTGTTGGACATTGTTTTCTAACATGATGTTATACAGTAATCTGAATCAGACTACAAGTCATAGTATGGAAAAATGAAACTGAAGGTCAGACATGCCACAGGAAGTTTCTATATGAAATGTTTCTCAAATAATTTTGCAGTATGTGTATAAAAAGGAAAAGTGCTAAGTATTAATTGCCACATGAAGAGATGATATTATTTTACCTGTTGCACTAACCTCTGTCAATTCATCAGTTTTGTTGTAAAATAATTTCTGAATCTACAATCTTCCTTGATCCGGTTCTTTCTGTAAAAAACAACTTCCAACTTAGGAAGTGGTCTACGCCATTGCTGCTGTACTTCTAGTGGCAATTGGATTAATGTAGAGCATAAATTAGCTCGTATGTGACATGTTTCGATTCAATGTTTTCTACAAATTTTTGGGTGTAACATTTTTTCTCTTTTACATTTATTTTGATCCAGTAACACATTTAAAATATTTGCTATAAACATAATGTGAAATTTAACAAGATGATTGAATGAATATGTTTACAGGTATTTGTGGATGGCTCTCTCTATTTGACCAATGTCCAGCTTGTGCATGGAGGAAATTACATATGCCATGCCCAGAGGAACAGGGATGTTTATCAGACCCATGTCCTACATGTCCACAGTGAGTAGTTGAATAGTTGGAGACACACAGTTTTATGTCTGCATATTTTTTACTAATATATATATTTTTTTAATGTAGAAAATTATACTTTGATTATCCTGTTACAGTTATACAACTAATACTTAACATTTTGTTTTATAACCTAGCAACTAAACATAATTTTAGAACCTAACTGTATTGAAGTTGCATTGCTTATATAGCTCCTATTATGATACACAAAAATATGGTAAACGGATGTTTTTTTTATGCAAAATCACTCACAAACTTTAATTCCTAATATTTATAAAACTTTCATATTGTTTGTGAATGCCATTTGAAAACAATACTAATATACGCTGTCTTCGGGATCTAATAACAGACTTTTAAGTTTGAATTAAAATAAAAAAATAATTTAACACATAAATGAAAACTTTATTAATTTACAAAATTTCATATAGATGCCCTCCATCAGATATAAAAAGGTTCAAACAATAATGTGTCAGATTTATTTGTTTCAGATCTTCATCTGACAGAGTTATGGGAAAATCCACAAATCCTTAAGTGATATAGAAACAAATAGGCCTAAAATTCATGATAAAGCCACATTCTACTGCTATTTTTTTTTTCTTCCACATTATTATTCTATTGATTTTTAATTCATATTTTAGTGTTAAACACACTGCAGCTGCAGAATTTAATTAGATACCTTTAATATAGAAATGCTTCTTCCTTCAGAGAATAAATTTTTATTTCAGACAAAAAAATTGCTATGTTTTATTTGATGTGTAGCTTGCAGAGAGTAATAATGTAAGAAAACTAGTGATGAAAATACACACAGAAAAATTTGAGGGTGACTTTAATATGAATTAAAGAATATGCATTTATTTCTTTGCCTTTTGTTATTCAGTTTTATAATCCAAAATGTCAAATTAAATGTTTATACATTTTAAAGTTTGTTGCTTATAAGGGTAACTTAGCTTTTTAGAAAGTTTTGACCAATCATCGCTTTAGAAACTAAAGTAAAATGTAAGATTTATATTATCACAAGATGTTTAATTATTTATGTTTCCAAATACTTTTAATTTTATTATCTTCTACTTTCCATACATAGCTCTACCCGAGGTTCATGTCATTCCTAAACTTCAGTCAAGAGCCCCTGGAGAGTTGGCTGAAATGGAGTGTCATGTAACTGGTGTGCCCACTCCAAATGTCTCCTGGCTAAAGAATGATGATGAACTGAAAGTTGGAGCAGAGAAATACACAGTTGTTGGTAAGGTGTTAGGATGATTTAGGAAATATTAAAAAAATATTAAAAGTTCACAAATATATTGATTGTGAAAAAAAACTTAGTTGGGAATAAATAGGTATTTGAGACTGTCAAGCCTAAAAAAACAGTCACAGAATTCACTCAATGTTGATGTCTAAAAAGTGCTGGTTGTCAATAATTTTCACTTATTAATAAATAATTGTACCTAAGAAACAGATTCCAAATTTTTTAAATTTATTCATTACTGATAAATGAGTAAATGGAAAACATAACCACAAATAAGAAATGATAAGGATGGTTTCAACTTTGATGTAATTAAAAACCATTCATTAGAAAGAATATGTTTGCAATACATAACATTGAGTAGAATCAAGATTAAGTTACAACCATGTTGTTCTTACTGGTTGCATGAATATGAGAGAAATGAGTATACATAAAAATTGAGGTATGCTTGTTATGTCATTATATGCTCCAACATATCTAGCAAGTCATTCTGACATTTGTCAGAATACATGCAAAATTTTAAAGGAAGACAATGGTCTACCCTCAGTGCTGACAGCACCTCAGTCACACAACATTAGAAAAGCTGATAGCACCATCATTTAATCATGGTGATGATGTAAAATAGGGAACCCTTGGTGTTTAAAGGGATAGCAAAAAAGGACTTGGAGTATTTCTTCAAGTGTTTCAAACAATTTGTTGCATGGAAGGGATTGGCTCAGGGACAAGTAGTGCAATGCTTGATGCTAAGTTTAGGAGATCCAGTGTTTGATGACCTAGAACATTTGGATTGAACCCTGTATCAAAGTAGTAATCTAAGCATTTGATTGGGATGAGTTCAAAGTGTGAAGTTGGTTGCTAATGCAGGTGATCAAAGAAGATTGTATGGGGTGACATTCCTAAGTATGTCTCCTGTTGATTGTGATTAAATACTCATTAATAAGCTCATTAAGGGACTGTCAAATGAACCTATATGGCATCACATGGTTTTCAGAAACATTTTATCTTTCATGTTGGTAGTTTCTGTGGCAGTGTGGTTTGAAGTAGCCATATCAAACCATGGGCTGTATAAATGGGCAGTGGCAGTCTCAAGTGAGGACTTAGTTCCAAAAACCTCTAGGTGTCTGTGTTAAGATGCAGTTACCAGATAGGAAAAAGGAGCTTCCCAGGCTCAGTTACCATAAATGCAATCAAAGTTGGATGCCAAAAGGTATTATGAGTGCAAGGAAAGGAGCTCCTGCTTCAGGCCAATGCTATGAGAGATTCAGGAAGATTGATGAAAAGATATGACAGTAGCTGCTTCAGCTAGTTTAGACTGGCAGTTTGGATCTGGCCACTATCCCAATAAGTGTAGCAGTCAGCTAATATGTAATGTTATGGTGATTAATTTAGATAACCATGGTCTTGACATCACAAGGTAGGTGCTGTCAATGATACCTGGATGGGGGGATTGAGTTTGTTGTGGATACTGGACCTGTGACCTGGTCATGTTTCAGCTGCACCATGAAAGCCACCACTTTGGCTATTTAACACCAACATTGTTCGAACAAGCTAGACATGAAATACTAGCTGAATAACTAGTGTCACAGCCCTACAACATGTTCAAGAATGAATGCATAGCTTCTGCAGCATCTAAAATTTCTAGTTATGGATTGTGCTAACAATATGAACTTGAGACAAAGATATGAACTCACTGAGTAGCTCAGGGAGTTTGCTGATCTGTTAGTGAAACCAAATAGCCAATTAGGTTGGACAGCGATCACACATCATCACATTGATACAAGTAATGAGAAGTGGGGCAGGGATACTTCCAGAGTGTAGTGCAGACCATCTCATTGCATATAGATACATTACAATCTCCAAGTGGAATTTCGACACATATCACTATATCAAGCTTGAATATCTGAGTATTTATCATAATTCCTACTCCTGCAATGGCCTTTACCCTATGTATTGCTCACACACCCTACTCTCACAGCAGGCAAGGGGCCCATAGTGTTTGATGGTTGAGTTTTAGTTATACAAGTATCCATACTAATTGTGTCTAATAAACAAAAATGAATACACAGTGTCCTCCTCCTGTGACTGGCAAGGGGGTCTGTTGTGTCTGACAGTAGAGAAGCTAAGCTCGGATACTTATCACTGGTGTCCTTCTTCAGCAGCTGGTTTTGACCCATATAGACTAATGGTTGAGGAGGTATTGCACAACATATGGTCTGAACAAAGTCCAACCACACTACATTTACTGGCCATCTGACATCTTGTGTATGAGTACTCACACTGTCATGTACCTATTCTGCCCATCATTGCAATACAATTCAGGCCTTTTGCTTCTCCTAATCCTATTCATGGGTGAAAGTGTACCTTAGATGAAGTGAGATAGTCTCCCATGGGTATGGGTATGGAGCCCCTTCCATAAGGTGTCACACCTTATGGGTTTTCTTCAGACACATGCTGAAAGTAGTTCATCTAGGTAAATTTAGTATTGATCCCTCCACCATCTCAACGTGGGATTCTAGCTTTCTGTGTCTGGAGGTGAGTGATTATATTGGAAGTTCACATTTTCCTTAATTGAAAAATGTATTTCCGATAGATACTCCCCTCCATACACGTTTCCACTTATCCTTTCCAGTGCACCTTTATTTGTTGCTTTGTACAAGAATGAGGAATTACATGTGTGAATGTAGAGGACACATTTGTGCAAGGAAGTGTGTCACGTTCCTGTTGGTGGAAGGTTTCATGCAGTATCACAAATTCACATGTTTCAAGTGAAATTTAGGTAGGAGTTTTCACAAGGCTGGTGGCATGCAAGTTTCTCAGGCAGAATAGTGCAACTTCAATAGAAAAACAGCTTTCTGTGAATACCTATCAGGAATACATTTTCGATAAGGAAAATGTTAACTTCCTGGCCTTATTTGTGTAAAGATTTTAAGCAGTGGTGTTTCTCAGAAGATAAACAGGACACGAAGGGAAAATATGGTTCAGATTTGTAAGTTATCTTTTTGAGAAACAATTGCTCATCTGATATATATGATACTCAGTCTAAAACTGAGAAAGCTAACTGATACATGCTAGTCATTATCAATTACATTGTCAAGTGTTGTAGGCCAACCAGTTACAAATGAACAATACTCATATTATAAGATTTTGAGAATAAAGATATTATTTTATTTATACATGTGTATTTGTTTGTTTTTCTGAATGTGTTTGAAATTATTCTCTGCAGTGCATTTCCAAAACCTTTGCTTTGCAGATACTTGATTCTTTTCTACCTGATATCATTAAAGTATATTGCAGTTTAAGTAACCATTTAATAATATATATAGTTTCCTGTGTGTACCTAATCAAAATGTCATCATTTTGCTACCAAAGTATGTTTGATTTAACTGGTATATTTTAAGATTAACAAATGCAAATTTAAGATAATCTTTATTTTTTCTGATTTGAATGTTATTATATATATATATATATATGCCAAATGAAAAAATTTTTTTAACAGTATTCTTTCTTTTCATTATAATTCAAAAAGTGAGCACATGATGTGTGTGTATATATATATGTATGTGTGTATATAACGTGACATTATTAAAATATAACCAATAATAAAAGTGTAGTAAAAGTAACAATTTGTTTTCACAATTATTTAGGTAATGGAACAGCACTCACAGTAGGTAAGATAACATACAGTGATACTGGTGCTTACATGTGTGTAGCCTCCAACCCAGCAGGATCCATGAGAGATATTAGTTCCCTTGTTGTTCAAGATCAACCCACTCCAAGTAAGATATACATATATACTGTTCTTGAGATATTACCACTTTGATTATAAAGCAATAATTAAAATTCAATTGAAGACATCAATCTGTGTTTTAAAACTTTTTCCTTTAATAATAGATAAGTACTTTTAGAAACTTCTCGGTAATTTATCATTTGATTTATTCTTAAAATCGGTTGCGCATTAACAATGTAATGACTCAAATAGTCATAGAAATCACCCTTCCATAATCAGTGAAGAATACATCTTTATTCAGGTACATTCATGTAATATTTTTCTTTTCATACATTTTCATACAGTTTCTGTATGTTGTTAATCACATCCATGACAAAATGTCTCAAGGTCATAAATGTGCTAATCCTTTTACACAAGTAAAGGATACATACTGCAACCTTTACCCTTGACTCTCAAGTTAACATGTATGTCTTTCTATATTTACTTGAAAGATAGATCATTCAAACCAGTGATACAGAAACTTGTACACCTGACTTGGCTTAAGATTGCATTTAAGTCGCTAATTGATGTATATAACATGTAGACACGTGGGATGCCTGACTACCTTTGTTATTCTAGAGTATTTAAGTCAGGTATTTCCATAGTTCCATCTCTTTTTTTGACTCTTGATTTAACTCTTGTTGACCCCAGCAGCTGTACAACACAGAAAAAAAAATCCTGGTCAGTTTAAATGACAGTGTTTTTTGTTTAATAGAGAATTTTTGGGTTTCAAACTACACTTGTTTTTCTTGTTTTCATTTATTGTTCGTGTTCAATTTATTTTTTCTTAACATTCCTGAACCTGCATTTTGCAGGAACATTTGGCTTTTCTGTTAAACATCAGTGTATCTGAATACAATAGAAAGAAACAACAGAGATTAAAATAACAGCCACACTTAAAGTTTTTCACGTATGCACATTGAGTCATACAATCATCAAAAGACAAACACAAACTTAAATTATAAATCCCATTGAACATGTTCTATATAATAATAACCAGATGACATAACATTTGAAATTACACAATATAAAACCTTTATTGAAGGTACCAGGCCTTTTCTAAATGCTTCTACATGTTTTGGTGAGTTTGTGCCATTTCAATTTGTACCGTGTACATATATATATATATATAAATATGAGACTGAATATTGGTATAAAAGTTTGGTTATTTATATGACTGAGCATACACTATAAACTCTATTGATGTTTTCAATAACATAAGAAAATGTCTACTGATTTTCTTGTTGTAAAGAGTAAATCTTAGTGTTTAACACAAACCTTTCAGTGTATTCAGACTAACCTCAGATGCTACTGTAACATCCATATTTTCACAAAAGCATCTTTTCAAGTAGTTGAATGCAACTGAAATGAGAAACATTAAAATGCAAATAATCTTATACATTATTATGACTTGATTTGCTTTTTAAAAATCATTTTATTATTATGTACTCAACTCTCTGTATAACAAACAGTGAGCAGATTTTTATGGTAAAATTAACTATATTCAATTTGTCAATTCATGATTTAAGCATTCTATTTATATGGAAATATTACTAAGTTAGAATTGGATTCCTTTAGCTGCTCCATCTGAAGAAAGACGTTTTTTTGCCTTCCATGACTGGGGAGTGTCTGTATATGACCCAGACAACTGCCGACTTTACCACCAGATCCAGAGTACTGACATTATTCCTGGTACCCAGGAATACGTGTGTGGTGATAGGGGCATCAACTGCTCATGGGGAAATGCTGTTAATGTGGCTGATCGCTATGTGTATGTTTCTCAACCAAAGAAGGATAGAGTTCTAATTATTTCTAGGGTCCAAATGGTGGTTGTAGATGTATGTTATTTTATATTATTACATTATTTCTATTCATTAAGTCGAACCTAAGAATTTGTACGTAACAAAAGAATTAATGAGAAAAAAAATCGACATTAAGCTGAAAATTTTAAAAATTTGTCCCTTAGTTTAAGATATTGTCAAGTACAATCTTAATAGCAGTAGTAGAGATATGTACACAATATTGTATATGTTAGTTAAAATTAAACTAAAATACCACAAAGATTTAATTACCAGCTGTAAGATCAGTTTCAACATTAAAATTAGTATAAAAGTTACTTATAAACTGTATATGTGTAGGTTTTAATTGGTTAAAATATAACAGAATTTTTACAGTCACTTTTTTGTATCTTTGTGACAAAGTTCCAAAGAAAGTGTGAATTTAAGTTTAATATTAATAGTAATAATTTACAGCATTTTTCCAATTTGTATTGGTAATAATTCAAGACATATGGTAATAAATATTACATACATTCAAGATTGTGAGGCTCTAGCCTACTAACTGATATAACAGACACCTATAAAGTTTTGTAAACAGATATTTTTAATGATTTCAATCCAAAAGAATAGACAACTTTTGGAGATAATTAAGATACTACTGAAGTATTTCTGACTTCCTGAATTATGAAAAGTATGCAGATCGACAAATGAATTAATATAAATGTTATATATATATATATATATATATATGTATGTTTTAATTTGTTGAATCGTAACAAAATTTTTACAATCACTGTATCCTTATATGTTACTCAAACAAATTCACAGTAATTTATGCTATATTATGAAGCAATATGTATTTCAAGTTTTGAAATCAAATGAAGCAACTCCACTTCAGTTCACATATGTATATGTATAGTCATCTATAGTGAAAAGTAAATGTAAAATGTATTTATGATAGCTAAAATTTTAATTTGAAAGAGCTAATGTGAAAATATGTTTATAAAAATAACTTAAAATTGGCAGATTAAAGGTAACAAAGCACCTAGATACAAAATATGTATAAAGTGAGTGCTGTTGTAACACTTATTTCTGCTGTCAGGTTGTTGTCACAGATAAGTATCCCGTTGATTTACACTATGCTCCTCATCTCGATCAAGTTTGGTTAACCTGTTGGCGTAGTGCAGAGGACCAAGGTACTAAAACAATTCAGATTATTCGCGATGCCAGTCAGAAGAGGAAACACCACACAGTCCATCCAGAACCTGTTGATGGGCACTTTGACTTGGTAAGTTTGGACTGATATGATGATAATTCTGTATTAATCAGTTATAGGCAATTGAAAACACTTATAAATACAAAGTATGAAAGTGATATTTTAACATAAAAAATAAACATTTCACTCCATTATTAATTTTTACTGAACAACTCAAAAATGATATTATTTTTATACTTATTGAGTTTATAGATGCTTTCAGCTTTAATATTAATGATATGATTTAGCTATAAAAAAATAATAGAGGGAAATATTTAAGAAAAATCATATATAATCTGTTTCTTCATTAACATTTGGTATATCTAAGATTTTTTCTGCATTAGTAAATAAGACCTTAGCAGTAGGGCATTATACTCTCTACTACATGACTTCACTATTATGGTATGTAGTAATATTACAAGCATGATAGAAATATTTGGAAAGTGGATATTGGAAATGTAGCCATGATATTATAAGAATTGTATAGACAACTTGCTTAGAGTGATGAATAACTGGATGACATTTCAGGTCACTTGCACATCTCTCCATCACGTCAAGTCAGCTTACAAATATCCGCTATGTACGTTAATGTGTCTGTGATAGAGTGTTTCTGCACTAGACTTGCTTCTCTTGGTTAGATCAGTCGGATGTTTTACTGGTTTGCATCTGCATTATTGATATTACCAATTTTAGTTCTTTTATTCAGGCTGAATGCTATCTGTTCCTTCTTTTTTTGGTCTCCAGTTAAAACTTTTGTTGTTTCTTAGTCTATAGCATGTTGAATATAGATAGCAGTAATGATGAAAATGTTGGTTTTCATTACCTATAAAGAATCCTGATGCAACCTTGAACATTATCCAACTGCCTAGTGTTAGACAAATTGTTCTTACAGTTGTAAGAAATGTATTAGAGAATTTGTGAAAAATTAAATAGAACATTTCTGATGCAACCTTGAACATTATCCAACTACCTTTTGTTAGACAAGTTGTTTTCAGTTGTAAGAAATAACTGATACGCAACTGAGAAAAATTAAGAAATGTATTAGAGAATTTCTGAAATATTAAATAGAACATTTCTGGTGTAGGTAAGCGAGTTGTTCATCCCTCTAAGCCAAGATCTCCGACATCCATGGAAGTATGGTTATGTTGTGCACACTAACCAGCGAGGGATGTACAAGTTGCACTTGCAAGGAATGAAGTATGTGAAAACTGTGGATCTGACACCCTACAACTGTGCACCTCATAATGCAGCTTTTGCTGCTGTTGGTAAGAGAAGAATTAAATGCTCTTCCTGAGCCACAAAGTTCAAAGAAGTGGGCTATATTGATTCAAAGAACAAATTACAGTACACTGCAGACCATTTAGTAGGGAAATTTTGTTCACTCGAGTTTCAGTAACAGCACAATATGAAAGTAATCATGTTACATTTAAAGTTTGTTAAATGTTAAGATGTTATATACTTTCAAAGAAGTCACAAAATATATGTCTACATAGTTTTTGTTTACTTTTTTGGTGGAAAATTTAATTTTCAATAAGATATTTCTTTCACTTCCAATGAGAAGCAAAAACTATATTCACCTATCACACTTTGGGTTGATTACTAGCTCAGATGTTAATTGTTGTATAAAATACACTTAAATAACATTGTAATATCCAATAATGATATTGCATGGATTATTAATGTGGTTGCTTTGTTTTATGATAAATAATTGATATTATTATGTGTGTAATGACATCTTTATATAGGCAGTACCATTTTTGTTTTGAAATATTGTGATTGGGGTCTGACAACTAGTGTATCATAAATATTGGCTGGGTGCACCCTCTAGTGAGTTACAGTTGGGGGCTCTTTTAATTCAAGATGTATGTAAACTGTTAAGAGAAGAAAGGAATATGTAATATTAGACTAGTTTTAATCTATACAATGAGTCAGCAATATTCACTTACAATGATTTACTAAATATTGGTCTTTCGAATTAAATAATAAATTTGAGATTCATAAAGAAGATATTTATCTTTATTGGATATAAAGTAATGCTTTGAATAGTGTATAGTTAACTCAGTTTTTCTGAAGTTGCACATATCAACTTTTAATAGGCTGAAATGGAATTACTTATTGAAATTTTTAACATGGGTTTTCTCCCTCAACCAGAGGCAAAGTAGTGTTTTGGTGACAAGGAAGAGAAATGGAAATTCCAGTAATTGTTTCTTGGAAGTGTTGCTTACACTGGTGGAAAGTCTGGAATCTGCTGTATCCAAATATTCAATCCATTGGTGATGTAGCCAGTCATAACTTGGTCAATTTTTGTCCAATTTAGAAACTGAAAATTGTAATTACCATATATCATTGTATGCTACATTCTTTTTAAGTTTCACCGAAGTTGGTTAAATCCCAGACTTTTTATGTCTAATTACTGCCATTGAGGTGCCTCTGGTTGAGGGAGAGATCTAAGAATGATTCATTATGTTTTTAAATTTTCACAATTTTGGCTTGGAAAATAAGAAGTCCTGATTTTATTTAAAACTTAATTATATTTGATTTAAAAAAAAATGAAATCAGAGTATGTAAAAATTGTATAAATAAGTTTTCGTATTATATTTTTAAACTTGTTTCTTACCAAGAATTAACTGCTGTTTTATATAGGAGGATATGTTATCATAGAGTGCATTGAACCTATCACCCATCGACCCACTGGACAGCTTGTCTTGGACTATCTCACAGATACAGTTGTGTCCCACAAGACTAATCTCTTTGGTCACCCTCACATTTCTCCAGACTCTCGCTATATTGTGACAATAGAAAGGACTAATTCCAGTGTCATAATTGTTGCCCAAGAAGTAACAGAAGAAGGTATGTTTTTTGTTATGATAACAAAAAGTTAAAAAATTTAAAAGTATCTGTGGCTTGACTTACTCTTAACAATTCAAATATTTTTTATGTCCATGATTGAAGTTTATTTTGTATAATATATAGGGTGCAACATAATTATGTATCCATGTGAGAGTTTGTCTGATTGTCTTGAAAGCCATGTAAGTTATAAGTCAAAACAGTTGATGGTGCTGGCACTGTTGGATCTTATGTCACCTCCACGTGTAAAGCATTCACATAAGCACCACTCAACTACTGGTAGACTCTACTCAAGATTGCTTGTGTGACAAAGTGCAAGCAGTAGTGATGCAATTCATGAAGTAATGCATGTCGATGGGTTTTGCCACTTTTGTGGCATAAACTCAGTCTTTTTTTTCATATATAGTGGGGTAATGCAATGGCATATTCAAAATGAATATTGCAGAACCTGAGACTCTAGACTTCCATCTGTGAATAATTAAATTGGCATATGATAATTATTCATGTTCAATTACTAATGATGTTATTAGGGGGAATAGTAGAGGCCCATTTTTGGATGTGTGCAGTCATGCAACATCTTGACTTATGTTGAATCCTTCTCATGTTCCTCATTAGACATGGCATTTGTGTCATAAATTCAGTAAGCCTATCAATTTTCTTTCCCATATATAATAGATGTTGTCTGGTCATTTCAGAACAGTAGCCCAGACAGGTATACATCCACAATTAGAGCCACAACCTGGCAGGGATCCATCTGTCATCTGTAGCTCTGCTGTATCAAACCATGTAGGCTCTCAGTACATGGTATGATATGAAATCCAGCAGCTTCTGGAGGATGTGGTCCATGAACATTGAGACATGTCAAGCTAAAACAATGCATGTCAAGTGGATTTTGTTGCATTTCATAGGAATGCCTCTTCCATCTCCTTGGTGTAAACAGAAGTAGGTCTGCTGGTATCCTTCATAAATTGAATGGACCCAGTCCTCACAAACTTAGTGCACAGCTGTCGATTATCTTTGACATGGACACTTTGCTGGTGAGAAAATCTCAGTTGTCATGTTTAAGTGACAGTGTTACTCCCCTCTCGATCCATACCACATTTTTTTAGCAATGCAGAAATAACAAGTGACCCATGATGATGCTGCTGCCCCAACTCACCTAATGGCTCACATCTACACACACACAGAAAAGAAAGTACATGTGAGGTTGATAACATTCAGACAAACGTTTGGATTGATACATAATAATTTGAATAATACTCTACCATGTTTATTTATAAAAACTGTATAGTGTCCACTAAAATCAAGTTTTCTTAAGAAGCAAAGTCAATATCATAATAGTTGATACCGAAAAAAACTAGTGGTATCCTTTTCTCTTTCAATAATTCTAACACAAAACAAGATCCAAAATGTAACTTAAAAAAAAACACCATTTACCAAGGCCCTTTTATGTGATTCTCAAGAAAAAATTCATTCAGTTTTCAAAAATGAAACAAACTGAAAAAGGCTAAACTGGACCTTGTATATAATGAACCATGAGTATTACTTATTGCTCATGGTCAACAACATGCATGACTTCATAAGCGTGTATTCTATACACATTCTAAATGTTGCAGTGCTTTTTATGTCATAAAATGAAGTACTAATAAAGCATTCACTGTCTATGTAATGTTTAGAAAATTAGAATAGTTATATAAGAGCTGAAAGTATATTTACAGACAGTTTAAACTTTCTAACTGATCTGATTATTGCCTCTAATTTTCTATTTGATAACTTTTTTTTTTTTAGAAATTAGTACTTTGAAAATGTGGGTACAAGTTCAGTAAGAGTTGATTATGAAAAATTATCATATTTTAATAAGTTCAGAGTATTTCATGGTAAGACCAACAAATGTTGGCATTGCTTTAATTGCAGTAGACAGTTTGATTAACATTATGTATTTTCAAGAATGTTGATTTGTAATAACTAGATTCCTATCTAAATAACTTTAATTAAAATATATAATGATAACTTACAAGATATTGATAATGACAGAATTATTCATATATTTAACAATATTTATCTAAATGTGCTTGGAATAGGCATATTCTATTTCTTTTAAGGTACTGCATTATTTTCAATTTTAGTTTATTGGGCTTCTACCATACTAACTGTTGTGTTTGGGATGTTATGGATCAAAATCATTGAGGCCTTATCTCATTCTATTCTATTAGTAAAACTGGATTGTACTATGATTTGAAGATTTTCAGTAAAATACTATATCAAGTGTTGTTGAACAGGGCTAACTTTTTCAAGAGGATTCCTACATTTTTGTATCCCCTGTTTTTAGGGACAGAAAATCCAAAGATGTGGTGGATACTTTTACACACTCTTCAGAAAGTACAGTGATTTTTGTTTAAATTTGCAACCATTATACAGGTTGTCACAGCCATAATGATAGGTATTCATTGATAGATGACTTTGGACCTGCATATGCTACTCAAACTGTTTGCACTTGATGCTTTTGCAATGCCACCAACATAATTACTAAGTTTCCAATAGTTTATCGTGGGTATGGTGTAGTGAAGTTGGGGTGCCTCACGTAATATTCATTGGGGATTTCATGCAAGGTACTATGATTACCCTTGTACAAGAGTATTATTTCAGTTTTGTGATGTTCTGTACTTTGCTGTTGTAAAGAATCTGAAATGATAAGTGACATTTTTGTAATTATTATTTGATTTTAATGACACTAAATATTGTAACTTTCTATAGAATAAAGATATATGGCCTTGTTTTAATTCATAGCAATTTTGAATTAATGATTAACATCATAGTGTTTTTTCTTATTGCTGCATGATTGTGTATATTTTTGTCTGTGTATATATATTATATATATAAGTATCTATCCAGGAACAAGTAAGAACTCAATCTCTTAAGACTTAATAGGTTTTAAAGCTTAAATGCTAGTTTAATTGTTTAACCAAATATAAAATATACTTGGTTGAATAAAGATAAAATTATAGTTCGAAATACGAAAATTATTTTATTTTATAAGTGTTATTTATGAGCATATTTCTAGTGCAATTTAGAATTATTTTTGTTTTGGAAATTATGCATATATATAGTTTATTTAAATTGAAAATTGTCTTCTTAGGCCTACAGTTTCTCTTTGATGTGAAGACAACTCTACAGATCAGTGACATCACCTATTTTCCTTCTCATACCACCCACAGTTATGACCTGTATGCCAGCTCTTCCAATAAGGAAGATATCCTTTTTGTTGACCTTGCCAATGGTAAAGTGGAAATGATCACTGGTATTGGACGAGCAATGGATCCGGAGGTGGCAGAGTGGAAAAATACAAACCGGCCAATGTCTAGTGCAGGAATCTTTGGCACTTATATGGTGACTACTGCAAATGAAGCGATCTTTGTAGTGAATGGTAAAACAAGAACTGTCAACTGTGAAATCGGAAGCATTGTCCATCCTCGAATGATGGTTTGGGTGAAATCACCCTAAAATCTTTGCTTATGGAAGGCTTGTTTTTTATGTTTGCTCAGTTAAACTAAGGCACACCATTAACTATACTTACATATGATATTGTGGCCTGCCTATCCACTTCATCTAGTAAGATTTCTGGAAAAAAGATTTTGTGCAAAAATCCTTAAAATCTTTCTTAAGTAAGATAAATTAGCAAATCAGAGTAAGTATTTTCTGGCTTTCATGGTTTGTGTAACTTGCAAACACATATTTAATAGCGAAATCAATAAGTATATATAAATTGAGCTGATCTTTTCTCGTAACTATAAATTAGCTTTCAAAAGCATGTTACACACTTGCAGTTAAATACTTAAGTAATTGAACCACTTAACTGAAAATTCTCCATTTTTCGAGTTGCTATAGAATCCAACAATTTTTTCTTGGATTTATAGCTCAGATTATACAATTTTTAATCAGTATTTTATGAGTAGCACTGTACAAATATTAGGATCCATTTCAATTTTTTCATGAGATAAAAATTCTAGTCTGTGATTTGTAGTGTATAAAAAAAAGCTGTATATTATTATTTGGTTATTAAACATGTGCTTCTTTTTATGTTGAATTATATAAATCCAAAAATTGAAAGTCCATGTTTTGAGTAGAAACATGGCTGATCAATTGTGCTTTTTTGCAACAACTTCCAAATCTTTAAACAAACAGCTTTTGCTTAGATTTTAGTGATCATATGGTTCAAAAGATTACCTTGCAAATGCTTCTGGACTGTCTAAAAGGTTTTCATTGTGAAAGCAATCTACTTAACAAATAAGATAGTGATAGATTTTTCCATTTAAAATTAGATCTGACCTTTATTAAAGTACGTGTGCTAGCTTGTGCCATTTGTATATCCATATAATGATACCTACATTCCAGGTAAAGGAAGTCAAAAGCATGTAAATTTTTTGGAGTGGCTACTACTATACTCATTTCACAGTAAACTGTGTCCAATTTGTGTATGCTAAAGTTTGTGCTTTGACAGTTAAAAGCCATATGTCATTTGTAATATTTTTTTCTGTAGCTTAACCATTGGAACTTATTCACAAATGAAGAAATCTTCTTGTGGTATTGCTGTAAATGATGATGTATACACACTTGGAATAAGTTATGTTCGAGAACCCTTTGTGGGTTCTATGCCCAGTTAAAGGTCACAACATTGTTTTCTATTTATATGTATTATTATGTAGAAGGAATGACCTGTGTGAAACAATGCATTAGTATATATATTAAAATGAATCAGTAGCCTGGAATGACACGAAGCCAGTATATGAACCTCAATAGGATCTGGAATGATTTCTACAGTGAATTATGTCAAACGTTTTCTAAATATAATTAATAATAATAATAGATAAAATATGGATTACTTTAAACTGAAGTTTCATATATTTAGACTTTTCACTAAATGAGCCTGACTGTTTAATTATTCCTAGCAAACCTTTAGGCCAATAAAAGCACTTGTGTTACTCGTACTTTAATATTCAGATATACCTGCTATTTCCTAAAAATTTGTAAACTCAATCATATACTGGAAAAAAAAATTTTGGATATGAAGATGTCTTATTTTTTTCAAATAATATTTCAAACAAGTTTATCCCAGAGTCATCATTTCACCAAAACCATAGGGGTTTGAAGACCATCAATAAAAACATAATCTGAAACCAAAACTAACATTTCTGTCCCTAAAACCAAAAATAACAAAATAATTGGTCAATCAGAATTTATCATACTGTAATGTGACTGAAAACTTTCAACAAAAAAAATATATATATAGCAATATAAAAAGTCATTTCAGTAAATTTTCCAGTGATGCAATTCAACTACATTAAACTTGTTATATTTAAAGAAACTTTTATCATTAGAAAAATGCATGGATATTGATGGCAGTGAAAAACCTAACAAGTAATAAAAATTAATCGTGTCTCTATGTGTTCTTTAATTTTATTTGTGTTTTATTATAAATGTGGAATATTTAATTTACTATTTACCAAAGTTCACTGGCTATTCAAAATGGTACTCTATGTTTAAAATATGTCTATGCTGTCAGTCAATAAAATAGCCATACATTTCAGATTATCTTGTAAAGGTTGTAGCATAAGAAAGAAGCTCTAATGGCTGAAAAATGTAATAAATTAAAACTCATGATATTTAGAACTGCTAAGGTAGATGTTAAACAGTTAATAACCAAAATATTAAAAAATTAGTCAAAGCACAGTATCTGTAAATGCTAATATTTTGATCCAGGTTGTTTTTTTGTTGTGGTTATTATCCCTGCCAAAAAGCCAGCTATGACAGGCAGCTACAGCATAGGAGCTGTAAATGATGTTCCTGATAAAATCTTATGAGCATGTGATCATCTAAAGATAATGCTGCAAAAAAAAAAGAATGAATTTTATCAGATTAAAACACATTTTTGTCACTAATATTATTTCATCAACTTACAAATTCACATTTCTGGTTTTTCCAAGATGTTTAGATTAAACCAAAACTTTATCTCAAATACAATAATTCAAGCTATTTAAGAGCTAAAATACACTTTTATAATTAGTTCTTTTGGCTGTCATAATGCCATATGTGTGTCAATGCTGTTTCGCCAAAGAAGTTATGGTGTATGTATATGTACAGAAAAAAAAAAAATAGCCAAGTTGTATAAAGCCTGGAGTTTAATTTTTGATTTGTCACAAAATCAAAATTTTCTCTCTATCTTTGCTTCCTATATGGCCTTTCTGTAATGACATAAGAAAATATTGTCAAATGGGCAATTTCCTTGCTTTCTTGTTTAGCCTATAGAACTATTAACATCCTTAAACAGTCTGTCATACATGTTAAATATAATTCTAATATTTACAATAATTTTTTTGAAAAATTTTACATCTTATATAACTGATTTTCTGACTAAGTAGGAAATATTGATTTCTTCTGATTGCTAGAAACTTAATTGATGGTTAAAGCAAAAGTATGCATTAAAGATAAGTTTTGCTGAATACGTACATTCCAATTTTGGTAGAATTCGTATGATGTTATTTTACTGTACTTTTTTGACAACCAATGATAATGTTAAGATTACCTTAAAAATTATGGGCTAATTAGATCAATACTTGTTAGTGTTTTAATTGTGCTTAGCTAACTTTTATAAAGTAATTTTGTTTTTATTTCTGATGGGCTAAGTTTATTTAAAAAAATTAATGATACATTGAATGATGCATAGTGTTTTTAAGCATTAATATCACTGTATAATATGTGTCAGTTTCTAACTCAAGCCATACATATTATTGATAAGCTATCAATTCAATCAGGTAACTAGCATTAATAATTTAACATTAATGAAGCATGAAATGCCTAATGCTTCCATACGTTTTGTTTCTCACCACCAAAAAATACATACAAGACTGTTGTATATTTAATTCCTGTTTAAAATACATTGCATATATATATATATATATATATATAGCAAACATTTTGTCATACTTAAGTATTGGAGAACTGAAGAGGAATGTATCTGGTATATGTTAATTTATGAAAAAAAAAATCGATGTATAATTTAATAATACTCATTATTCCAACAGGATTGCTTAATGGTGAATTCAAGTGGCTTTATATTAATATGTACATTTTATGCATGTAGTCATTAGAAACAATTTTAGTTTAGCCCAGTCTTATTATGTTTACACTATATAATAAAAATAGTTGATTTTAAAGTATATAAACAAAATACACACAGCTAAAACCTGTTTGTCACTTAGAAGTTGAATCTTATTAGTAGAAAGGTTCCATTTCATAATCACATGTTAAGTTTCATATGGAAAAAACAGTAATAACACATCAGCATAATAATGCACTAATGATTAAAGAATTAACACAATATAGACATCTGTATGTTTTGTTAATTCTTTAATAATTTATGAATTAACACAAAGTACTAGTACTTTAAAAATTTCATTCATTCCACATTTTATTTTTATTTTATAAGCGATTAAATATTGATGATGGAGTTAACATAAATTGTAAATGTATAGAAATTCAATAGCTACTGATTGACCTTCAGTGTTTCTTTAAAAACACTTGTGTGATGTTATTTAAATTTCATAAAAAGGTTTCCTTCTTCACTTTCACACATAGTGTTTGGCTTTCTTATCATGTTTTCTTAGTGGTTGGTCATTGTCAGTCCTATGTACCAGGAAATTCTCAAATAAGCTGTACAAGTGCAGTGTGAATTTACAAGTTATTCTACTTCCTTTTATTCCTGTGGCACTGTAAGTTTGCATAAAAAATGCAATTAAAGCTGTTTTGAAAAAAAAAAGACTAAATATATTTTGAATTATATGAAGTTTTCCTAAGGATGCAAGTATCTTATTTTTTATTGATAATATGTTGTTTTTTTTATTAGCAATTCAGGTTACAAGTGTTTTTATTTGAAAAAAGCTAAATATCACAAACTACAAGTATGTATATTCCTCTGAAAAAGGTAAAACATTACACACAATAAGGGTAACTGTTAATGTATCTGACAACCAATGAATTTTATAACACCTTTTCTGTGTGCCTAACTACACAGAAAACTGCCAAACTATCAATTATTTTCCAAAAAACAAATGCTTGTGCACAGTGTGATGGATAGACTGAAGCATATATATATTTGAAAATTTTTAATCCAATACTTTTTCATCTACAGGTAATTTCTATATAAAAATTAGGATCCCAACACTAAATGAAATAAAATATTAAAAGGTTTTTTAAGTGGAATTTTCTGCATCATAATTAATGACTAAAGAATTGAACAATGTTAATGGAAATGAAGAAAAATACAACTTGGTTTACAGCAAATCTCCCCATTTTGGAGAAGGTTATGAATAGGCTTATAGTTGGATAAACATATGTGTATTCATCTTTTCTAGTAAATTTAGCTTACGGACACAAGAAGATCAAACTGTGTTAATAAGAATAAACAGTAATTAGCACACATTAAGATGGATGTAAAGAAATTGCTTCACAAGCACTAATATAAAGCCAGTTTGAAATATTCACAGATGATCATTATAAAAAGATATTATATCATAGAAAGATAAATTTGGGGTGAACCACATACTAATACACCAGACATATAAACTATGATCATTATTTAGATTAAACTAGACACATTCCTAATGAGGGTAGAAACAAGACAGGTATGATGGCATTTTGATCCTTCTTTGTTTTCCAAAATTCTGTCATTATTATAATTTGTTTGAATAAATATACACTTTTATTGTATTTGTTAAGTAACTTGACCTTAAACACTCACAAAGGACATGTCAAAAGAGTCCCCCCAAATTTTTTTTTACTCATAAATTTTCAACTGTATCCTGTCACATCGCTATACTCAAGTTTAGTAAAACCAGTAAAGTGTCCACTGGTCTTGATTTTTCATGTAGGAACAAACCACCATTCTTGTTACACTAACAAGAAACCATGATAGTTTATCTACATTTCATCATTAATGACAGGCCTCATTCAGCAATAGTTCCTATAATGGAAGCCTTTTTTTTTGTTCCAAGTTAACTTCATCCACATGGCAGTTGTCTCAATATTGAAGACATATTTAGATTTTTCTGACAATAAAGGCTGCCCAGAAAAATATTCAAATTTCAAAGGTTTAGGCTAATAATGCAATTTATCAATTTAATGGCAAAAAGTACCCTTGTTGAACATTAAAACCCTGTAGGACTGGTGAAATATGATTTAATTATTAATGAAATGTAACTACACTAAGACCTAATTTGTGAAACTACTGACAATAATTTTGCAACTAAAATGTGACACACATCTCCCAGTAAATAATACTAACTTTTAAATGTTATGAATAAGTTCCAAGCTACTAGTAGTAAATGGGATTTGGAGGCAGTTAATAGGTCAGCAGTTGGGTTCTGTATAAAAAGATCTGTGATAAGAAAGGAAAAAGGTGTGTATGATTTAACTAGAAACATAAAATATAGGCTTGAATGATCCACAACTATGATGAAAACCCATAGAAAAGGAACTGAAAGCAATTCATTTTGTTTCCATTGATATTACAATCAATCAGACTGACTTAAAACCTCATTTAAATCAATATCTAAATATTTTTTCTGAAGTTTGGTAGCAAAATAGAAAATAAGGCTAGCTTCAATCAGTTGCAGGACAAAAGAACCTTGAATCTGGCAAATCAAGTGGCAAGATCCATGACAAAGTAG